TTGGCCAGTGCTGAGATGCAGCTAACTCCGGGGCAGGGCAGCTGGGTGGCTCTTCACAGACGTTTGGGGCAGGAAATGAAGTGGCGCCGCGTCTGCCTGAACCCCACCCCCCAGAGCCAGGCCCAAAGGGTGGGGTCTTGAGGACAAAGGTGACACATCACAAACACGAGGGTTTCAAGGGCAGATTTTAATGCCACAATCCGTTAACCTGTGGAACTCCCCACCACAAGATTCTAACAGATTTCTTGCATCTTCCAGCTGAATTTCCCATCACCTGGGATGGGAGCCAGGGTGTTAATGCAACTCATGAAGGGGGTGGACAGGAGGGGGAAGCGGAACTGGGGCATCAGACAATAGTGGCATAGACCGTGGTGCCGTGTGGGGGGAGGGGCTGGGGCTCGAGCCACCAGTGGGTGCTGGACTTCAGCATAAAGCAGGATGCCTGGGACCTGGGGAGAGAAGGGGCAGTAAGTTACAGAGATTCCCCCCGCTACCCCCTGCCCCCCAGCTCTGCTGATGCCCCTCACTCCTGACCCACAGCCCCTGCTCGCCCAGCCCTGGGCTCCCCCCAGCTCTGCTGGTGCCCCTCATTCTCTCACTTTTCTTTCCCAACTCTGGGGCACAAGGTGTTTTTCAGTCAATTTGGCTCCAAGCTGCATCTCTTCCAAGGGGGATAAACGGGGCCCAGGGGCTCCTTGGCACAGGATGGAGAGAAGGAGAAAATCAAGGGGAAAGCAGGGATGGGATAGTGTGTGTGTGTGGGGGAAAATGTAACCAAGGAGCCGGTTGACCTGTGGAACTACCCACCAGTGGATTTTTACAGACTGAACATGGCTGGGAAGGTTACGGACCTGGTTACTCAGGCAGGAAATCTTGGATCCACTCTGCACTCAGCTGGGGAGGCAGGATACCAGGGTAGCTGGGCCCATGGCTCTGACCTATGGTGGGAGAGGTGGGATACCGGGGTAGCTGGGCCCCATGGCTCTGACCTGTGGTGGGAACGGTGGGATACCAGGGTAACAGGCCTGCGGCTGGGGGTTGTTTTTATTTCTCTCTCTCACCTGTTTCGTTCTCTCGTCTGTTTTGATTCCGTTGGTTACTGAAGGAAGAAAACGGCAAAGATACATGATGAAAACAGGTTTCTCCCCATCCCCGGACTCCTGGGTCCCTCTCTCTCTCTTCCCTCTCCATCCCCTGCTGGGGGTGCCGCT